GGTAGAGGGCTGATAACTGCTCCCGGGGTGCCAGGTGGTAACGGCGTTGGAGTCTGGGGCTGGGCGTAGGCGTGCACGAGGGCGTGGGAGGGCTCAGGGATCCCATAGCTGTTGGAGTTGCGAGACCCATGGGAAGGCTGGCCAGGATGAGGTGAAGGTCGTACCAATTTCTCCACATAGGGAACGGGGATCATCCCCACACGCCCCTCTTTACTCTTGGCGCTCCACCACTGCTCCTCTGGCTTCTCCAGGATGATCAGGATCTCCCCCTTCTTGAAGGGAAGGTCCTCTGCATCGCTGCCAGTGAAGTCGTAAAGAGTCCGCACATACTCTAGGTTCTCATCTGGGCCACCCATGGGCTGGATGGGACCGCTCACTGTGCTTGGGTACCTTGAGAGATTACAATAAGGAGGCAAAGGAAGGAGACATAATGGGGTTACCATAAAAAGAAGGTCATTGTCAACTGAATATGAAATACATGGACTAGTGCCTGGACATACATTCCAGATGTTCTTGTTGAATGACATTTAATAAAAGCTTAAGTTTGATTTACATACGCCTCCAAGGACAACCTGAGTATACATGTTTACTAATGTAGTGTATACATTAAATGGCAAGAAGGCATACATGGAATATCCATGTTCATTTCCAAGGTCTTTGAGCAAAATAGGAATAAATGCCACATATAGAGAGATCTAAAAACAGTGCATTAGTAGCTCATTCCAAAATGGATGGCTAATCGTGTATATATGCAAACCCCAAACTTTACTAAAGTCTTGGCTAGTGATTGTTTATCATATGTTGAGAAACCACACATAAATCACAAACTGTATGTGTGAGGGTAGTGTTAATGTCTCTCCTCTCTTCAAATGTGTCAAACTAGATGCCCCATGGCATTTCAGCAGGGTACTGAGGTAAGCCTGAAAGTGGGTTGGTTTTGATAAAAATAGCCAAGCTATTTAACCTAGATTATCCAGCCATTGAGGCCCAAGTGTTATGTTTTTCTTCATCATGGTGTACACTTAATATCATGGGTTTAGTGGTGGGGGGATGGGGGATGTTCATACCTGGGGGCTGGCTCTATCAGCGTGGTGGTATCCAGGTAGTGGATTTTGTAGAACTCCAGCAGAGCAGGGAGGTGCTCAAATTCTTGGTCGCCTATCTTAAACCTCTTGCTGGGCAAAGAGTTGATTATATAGTGAGACACTTTGGAGTTTTCAGACACTGACAGCACGTAGTCGCCGGGACATGTCGACGAGTCTCGAACCAGAAACATGCCATGTCTCTGTCCTTGTAACCTATTCTGTGCCTCTTGTCGTGACACGGGTCCAAAATACCAGGCGGACCGATCAGATGAATCAAACCGAGCAGTTGACATTTCTGTTCAAAATAAGTTAGTAACAAGACTACAAATAAGAAAAAAGATAACCAAAAAGGCTAGACAATAAGTTAAAACGTGTGGTTGTGATTGGCCAATCACAGCAATTTGGAGGATTTGGAAGATGCAGGGCAGGGCATTCGTCGCCCTGAGAGGTTGTGTCGAGTGCTTTCTGCTGCAGGCTCCAGAGACCTCTGATTTTAAAAAGAAATTAAGAGGAACCAAAAACAACCTGACGTTTTCAGAGACAGGCTGAGACTGGCTTGATCCAACTTTGGAACATAATGTGGTTCCTGTGTTCAGCAGTCAACGGCTGAGTGATTGTTTGTGCGGCCAAAATAGAGAAACTGAACAACTTACGACAGACAAACATCGACGGAGAGCGAAGCAGCAACAAATGATAAATGAAGCTTCCCCTTTTCGTTCCGCCTTCCGAGAAAACACCGGGCTTCTCTCTTCTAATAATGTATCTCCCGTCAGTGTCAGAGAACGGAAAAGGTGGCCTCAGTTTTTCATCTGATAAATCCTCATGTGGGCAAAATGTCGCCAGTAGCCGCGAGTCGGAAACGAAATGATTACTTTGTATCTTCTTTATCTTATGGTAAGGCACACGTCATGGAAATGTGTTTTTGAATCCCGTTTCTCGAGTCAGAGCCGACTTTAGAGGCTGCACATCACAAAAATGGCGGCCCGCAACACGTCTCCACACAAAAAATGATTTCACAGCAGCGGCTTGTCTCCTGCGCGTGCATCTCAGGTGGCCGCGCGGTAGGCTGGAGCTCTCGCGTGAGTTCCCGACTGCTCACGAAGGATAACGGCTTAAGGATTCTATAATATTTTACTTTCCCTTATTTCTACTCGTCCCCCCCCCCTCACCCGAGCCACCAGAAGTGCGAGTACGAGACCGAAAAATGGCGACGGGAGGGCTGGTCCCGCTTTCTGTATGCACGTCACTGACGCCTGGAGGGGGGTGGCGGGTGGGAGGAGGAAATGGGGGTGGGCGGGTTACGAGACCATGGACTGCCCCCCCTCCACCCCCAGAGTGAAGTGTCAATCATGTTTCCATGACAGCTACAGAACATTTTGTATGACAGACGATAAAGCAGTGATGTTATCATTACAGGGCAAACAACCAGCAATACATTACAAAATACACTATAGGCACTATAGCAGCAAGACCCTGTATTAGGTTCCTGCTATGTCTTTTTGCATACGATGTCTAAGTGCAGTTCATAAATATGCAAAAAAAGTAAACTACTTTTGATTACTAACAATACAATTCAAACATTTGTTTCAAAATAATGTTGTATTATGTTCTAATAACAGTGGCAATACCATAATATACTTCAATAAAGTATGGAGTATGCAAGTTTGGAGTCTTTTGGTGTTTTAGTTGTTTAGGGGTGGATATCCTTTTTTAACGACTTTGTACTTAACTAATCACATATTTTCTTTGTACTTATTTTCTACGTACAATATTCGAATTTTGAATTATTTAGGTGTATAAAGTAATATAAAATTAAAATAATTAAAGTATGCAAAACTGAGTCATTTGGAAAACAACTATGGTCAATCTTAAAATAAAGGCTATTTGATTTGTTCATATACTTCCAAGATCCCCTTTTGGTTCCTGTCCTTTACAGTTTAATTTCACTTGTATTACTGTAGCAGGATAAATGAGTGACCGCAGATTTAATTCTTATAACTGATGACAGTTTCACATTCAATCACATCTGACAACTCAATCTTCTCAGACAGGGTCCCTGAGGACACAGGCTGTCCTATAAACGAGCAAACGTACTCATTTGAATTTATATTTATGATGTATTTCTGTGCAGCGTATATTATATATCTTCAGCTTTTCTGTGGCCTCATGAGTAATTCATATGTTTGAGGTACAGCATGTTTGCTCAGTTAACTGCTATTTCATGCAACCAGTTAAACATTTTACATATTTCCCTATTCTAATTTCCTGTTGTTCTCCTACTTCCCCTCCACTCAATCTCATACTTAGTATTATCTGGCACAGAACTGTGACACATCGATTTGGAGCTCCCCGGCCCACAACGCAATATGCTGAAAGGGAGAGAGTGAATTTAAATGGAGGGGGTAGTGCCTCTGAAGAAGGCTAAATAAAGACAAATACAAACCAAAGAATGGGTTAGAAACACTGATAGAGCATGACAAGCGTTCCAATGTGGCGGGACAACTTCTGCTCATTAATGAAAGTAAAGTATATAAAGATGCAGCTCTGTTCCTCTGGATATTGAGGTTTCAGTGAGCATGCTCGTGAGCCTGCAGCTGGCACAGAGCGGCTCTCATCACTGCAGCGCTGTCTGAATGTTAATAGATTCGCACCCACTGGCTCTTAAGGGCTAATGCTTGCCAATTCCCACATTTCCACAAAGACGCAGTGATGCAACAAATTGGAAAGACTAAAACAAACAGGGCCTATTCTTCCTCGGGAGTAGAAGTTAAAAATGCTGTGTAACTGGTCATTTCCCCCAAATACTTTTTGTTTAATTACACTATGGTTTAATTTGTGATATTGTTACCAAGGGTCAAAACAAAACAGCCATATTTTCAGGTGGATATATAAATAATTTAGCCAATATTCCAACGACACAAACTCCATGCAGAATATGAAATCAATAAAAGTATCTGTAACCTCTCAAACATTGTAGGCTTCAAATGTAATGGACACTCTTCAATGTCTCTAAACACCTCCATCTGGTGGATGCATGCATGAAACAATGTGTTTAATCTGAACATAACATCATTTTACAGTGTTTGAACTTTTGCAGGGAGAAATGTCATACACATTGACAGACTGAGAGCTATTCACTTGTAACTAATGGAGAGGTATTGAGAGGTACCTTGAAAATGTCTGCCATCAGAGTATTTTGCTCACTGTGAAAATAAGTGCCCCTGAGGCACAGATTGGCTCTTACTGGGCTCTCACTGGCTGTATGAGAATCCACATTGTGATAGCTTTGAATCAGCAAAGGTTTTAGAGGTGGAGTGAGCTCAGCCGGGTTCATTCCGGGAATTGTCTGCCCCGCCTGGCTGCATGCAGTTCTTAACCTGCCCAACGCGGTTGCACAACTATAAGCTAGGTTTTGATTTATGTTGTGAAATTAAGCTAGGCTCTTTAACATGTTTGGCTTTTCACAGCTGTGTGTCTTCTCACTTCACTCAAATGTTAAGACAATTGCCAAAAATATTATGTTAAAAAGACAGGAAGAGCAGACGTCGTTGTAAAAAAACAGGACAGAGCTCTTTTTTTGTTGAGATAGTTCAATCTAGTTTTGTTGTGTAGAAAAAGGGCCTGGGAAAAAAGTTGTTATTCTTTTTCCTTAATGTGTTTTTAGAGAGCTAACTTTGGTTGTTTGCAGTGATAAAAGTATGAATTAGTTTGAATAATAACAAGTTATTATTTCTATATAGTACTGTACAATTCCCCCATCATTTTGGCAGAATTACAATAACTGTGCTCTAAAAGCTCAACGCACTGAATGCTGACTCAGTTTGGTAAAAGCAGCCATGTTCAGTTAGAGATGTCTACCTTTATAGTTCAAATGTCCTAAAATGTTTGGTAAACAATAAATAAATACATTTACCGTTACCAGGACAACACTGCATTTGTGACTTTATTTCCTTTTCTGTTTGTGTGCAGAATGAAAAACTATGTTTATCTTTTCATGTAAGCGGTCCTTCATGAGAACAATTATAAAAGAAAATATGATAGGACAGAAATACTTTATATGGTGGTGGATAACAGTGTACTGGATGTGTACTGGGGATCCTGTCAGTGCACCGTCCTTTTGAAGCGGTCTCTCTGCACAGCACGGGTCCTCCTCTGTCTGTCTGCGATGCTGTTGCTGAGGCTCTGTTTCAGGGCAGGGAGGACCACCCCAGAGTGAGAGGGTCCGGACCTGGGACAGAACATATGTAGATTTAACTGAGGGGGCCAAGATGGCTTTTTGAGCATGCAGTCAGTGCAAAATGATGGAACAGTTGTCCATAGAAACAGATTTACATACGGCTTTTCGGGAAATGTTTGAAGACCAAGTTTCGGAAATGTCTTTTCTTTTGTGACTTTGCTGACAGGTGCAACAAAAAAGAGAAAACCTAATCACAACTGTGGTCGTTTTTTTTTTAAGGAATCCTATATATTGATGAAGATTACAGTAATAAAATTGTCTGTCACTTTACCAGGTTCCGTCCACAAGGAAGGCCTTTGTCAGGATGTAGTTCTCTGGGGTGATTTTTTTGCTCAAAACAATATCTCTCAGCAACGACTTCACACGTATGATCTTTAAAGAAACGCGGTTGTTATAAAGCCATTAAAAATGTCCCAAAAAAAAATTAGAAAGAAAATAATATAGATGATTATTATGTGATGAAGGGCACTTACTTCCTGAGACTGTAAGCTGTTAGCGTTGTAGAGCTGCCGAATGATGACCTCACATTCCTGCAGGGTGGGGGCTCGCGGCGGATGGGAGGGGTTGCTGTGGATTCGTAGAGGTTGTAATGAGGTGATGAGCCCCCCCTTCACCTCTAGGCTGGGCTCCTGCCTGGCACATCCCAGAATGTCGCTGCCATCTCCAAGGCTGCACAAGTAGTCAGTGAGATCACATCATCAATCAATGTTGAAGGCAGTTCAAGACTTCCATTCCATGGCCTTGATTGTAAGGCGATACCAGATGTACCAAATCAAAGTGCATAAAATAATGTATATTTTGCACATTTATTTGACAAATCTAATATTACTTCGACATCTCTTTTAAATGACTGTTTCAAAAGTTGGCTGCACTACAGTTGAACCAATGGGTCGTTGCTTAAGGCCCCGTCCACACGGAGACGAAACGGAGACGAAAACGAACCGAATTAGATATCAAAAAAGTCTTCCGTCCACACGGAATCGGCTCAAGAAACGTGTCCATCCACACGAGACCGCTCGACCCGCTGGGCAGCTGTAGTACATATGCCGGGCCTATAAGTGGCGCTGGGGTCGGCAACCCGCGGCTCTTTAAGCCCTCCACTCTGGCTCCCTGGAGCTTAGACAAAAATAAGAAGGAAATAAAATAAAAGTATTTGTTGGACTATTTATATTTTGTTGCACGGTTGAAAATGTTTCGTATCTTGTATTTTGAGGTGATACTGTGACACATAAATTAAAAACAAAACGGTTTTAATTAGGTCAACTAAAATATGCGTCATATCCTGCTATATCCGGCACCAGCGCCTTTTCTTGCAGGTGAATAACCTGACCCCCGGCTCGATGAGCGAACTATGGATAAATCAAAGAAAAATAAAAGTATCGGAGGAACACAGGATTTAATTCTGTGTGGACAGAGTTATCTGCTTTCACAGCAAACGATGCTGGCTTACCGGTATGTTTGATATATAGAGAGAAGTTGTCAAAGGTGCTGCAGCCTTTACGTATTGGAGGAAAAACACGGAAGAGGAACACCGCTGACGATCTTCAGTCATAATTCAATCCGTTAACTCTTTTTATGGTGCAGCTATGTTTTATTTATTTCAAAGTGGGCCCATTTTAATTATATTAATTTTCTTCAAATGTGCAGGGGACTCCCCAAGTCAGGGCTCGAGCTTAAGGACGTCCAGTCGTCGAAAAAAATAGTGTCGGGGAGGATACAAAATAATTTTGGGACGAATTTGGGACGAGAGTTAAAATAAAAATACCCTGCTAACTCTACTACAAACGGCGATGAAAATGAAACCGACTGCACGTTTTGTGTAGCACACAGTTATTAAACCTCCTTGTCAACATAAACACACACGCACAAAACATTTAGAAACCCGCGAAATACACACACATAGGCCTACCTACAGCTGTGCCGCTGGCCAGCCGCCCAGCTGGCTGTGCCAGCGAATTCCTGGCCCGCAAATTCGCGGGTCTAGCTATGTACTGAGTGTGTGTATTTCGCGGGTTGAGTGATGTACAATGGCATCCCGTGGAGGAATTCTGAAATGTTTTACCGTTACATCACAAAAACGCACAGCAGAACCAGACCCTGGAGCGCCGGCCTCTTTATTTACTTACTCCTCTTCATATGCAAGAGAGCTAGGAACACTTTGCATTCAACTAATTACAATGTACTTATTTTTCTAAATGTTAGTAAAGAAGACTCCCATATCATATAATCTAAGAAGCTACGAGCATGGGATAAAAATGGGAACTAATGATATATCTACTTTAGAGTTGACTTTTAAAACAGTGAAATGTGTCAGCATTAAAACCATAAGCTCCACACTACTTTGTGAACTGTTTTTCTTCACACACTGTGGCTGTGGTGCACCACTGACTGTGGTTATAATCCGTGTGAATTACGTTTTCTTACACGCTACTTCAAACATTTCACACGCTTAATGGACAGCAGTATATCTATCCCCATTTCACAGTGTGTTCCACCTGAATTGTGCTTAACATTGTATACTTGTTGTTTCATCTCAATATTACATAGCAATATGAACCAACATGTAATTTTGTATTAGTGTTTTGATATCATTTCATTTAGAGCTGGACAATACAACCAATGTTGAATAGAGATATTGTGAGAGGAGATATTTTTTTGCAAAACTATGATAAAACTTGGGCTGAATTACTGTGACACAAATGTATGAGCTTATCAGATGTACCTGTGTGAAATCAAAACATGTTTTGTCAGCACATCTAGGTTATTTTATGATTTGTTTGAAATTCTTAAAACACTTTCAATCTTATCACACTCGAAGGTACTGAGGCAGGTAGGCGGTTAAGTATTGAATCAGATTGAAATGTAGAATGCAGAATTTCACCTCAGTGCTTGGTCCTGTGAGGGTCGAGTGTCCTGCAGCGTCTCCTCCAGGTAGAGTCCCGTACGGGCTTCACTTCCCTGAATGGGGGGTCTGATGCCTCGCCGACTTTGTGTCACTCCTATGAGAAAATAATCAGAATTCCTGTATTAGTCCTACAGCAGGGAGATGTCCATCGTTACAGTGAAGGGGACAGTGCAGACAAAAAGGAAAATAAATAAATTACATATTCAAGGTAAAAAATAAGAAGCAGCTTTAAGAACGCAAGTAAACAAACATATAAAAGTATTAGCGGCAAGTAAAAAAAAAGGACCCATTATTAAGATCATTATAAATTGTCATCTGTCTTTCACTTGTCCTTTTATATCAGATAGTTACAACTAGAACATTTCAGTTATTTTGCAAATCCAATACCAACGTTTATCATCCCACAGGCCATACGAATGTTAAACACCTGCACTTTTGAAAGAACGTATAGCATTCATCTGTTTGCAACTCATATATATCAATATTCCAATTACTGTATAGACTATTCTGCAGTTTCTATTCTATTCTGTTTCTATTCTATTTACTTGTACTATTTCATCTGTTTTATTGTGTTGCATTTTCATTGTCATAACTACATTGTAGCTATGCACACATGACAATAAAAGCCTTGAAACTTGAAACAATTAGAATCTTTTTCTGCACATTCTGAAGCTGCATTTGAACTTTTTGCCAATACAACGTTTACATTGTGAGATGTGTCATCTGCCAGAGATTTGGCCATACTGTAAACACCAAGATAATGTCCCTTTAATGACTGGTTGTTTTGTATATATTTATCTCAGAATGTAAAAGTACATATACCGTGTTAGAATATTTGATCAACATTGTCCACTACTTTCAACTCTTCCAATCTAGCAAGAAACACACAAGCAAAATCAAACTGTAATCCAGGATCACATCTTACCTTTTCTACAGGACTTGGGAGGCTCCATTATCATCTTAAACTGCAACTCTGCAACATTAAAATAGGATTAGTTTGCGACATACTGTAGGGAGGCACACAGGAGGTACAATGTTGAAACACAGTCCCGACATACAGGCGTGTTTCCATGGGGGCCTGAAGGCTGTGACAGTGTGCAGACAGAGAGGGGAGCTTCCTGGTGGGTGGTGAGGTGCATTTATGTGACCTGTTCAGTAAAGTGACACTAGATATGTGTCCACCTCCCACTGAGAGACCATCAAAACCCTGGAGTTGCTATGCGACCACTGTTCCTGGATTGAGTGTATTTCTTTTCAGCACCCTATCAGTAGACAGTCAGGGAGTGCCATTAACATCGATTCATTACAAGAAGGGTGGTTAGACATAACAACAGGAACTTTTAAATGGGAAAATAATAGGGATAAGGATTGTTCTTATTAATTGGCTCTGGGCCATTTGTCCAAAAAGTACCAGTTTTATTGATTATATCAATTTACTCTTGGAAACAATAAGGTATAATGTGTCTTCTCACCTTAAAAAAAACTCCTGCAAAGTGAAAGAGGTTCAATTAAAGAGGTCACACTTTTAGATATTTAGTTTTCCTTTATTTTTATATAATGGTTGTATTACTATTTAATCATGTTTTCCCTTCTGAAAAGCACTTTATAACCAGCTTCAGTTTTGAGAAACGTCTTACTTTACTCTACTGATATTATAATGGTATATTATAATGTCCTAGCTAACACAGCATACACTAATTTACAGGACTATGATTCAACTGTCAAAAAATACAACTATTTGTGCTTATCCCAAATTATTAGATGACATATTTAAGTGACCTCGGTTTAAGTATGAGCTATTGTGATAAATCGAAATTCTCTGACACTAATGGCAGTGTTTCAGGTCACTGTTTTCTTCACCTTTATTCTCCCGTCTGAGATACTCTATCTCTGCATGGAGCTTCTCGAGAGTGTCCTTGTGTTGCTGCTGAAGGAACTGGATATTCCTCCGCATGGACGCGACGTGGGGGTCCGTGTCGCTGTGAGAGGACACCTCTGCTGCCCTCCACACTCGTTTGTCAGCTGGAGGGACGACAGGCAGTGGCTGCAGTTTGTTTGGAGGTAAACGCTGAGGCGAGCAAGGCTTCCCGAGGCGCCCGACCCGGGTCCATTGTGGCAGATGCCGCACCGGCGGAAGATTATGACTTGACATTGCTAACGAACCATTGTAGCCTCTTTGGCTAGCGGTGACGACCTGTTTCTGCTCGAAGTGTTCCATTAGTACCAAGAGAACAAACTACCACCATCACCTAACAGTGTTTTCTCTTGCCATTATATTCCAGTGTGGAGTTTAAAACCTACATTGTTGTCTAACTATCTTGTTTCCTAAACTCTGTTGCTCGTAAACAGCTCAAGTACCCGTTGCGCTAATTTGACACGAGGCTCCACTCTCACTCACACACACAACGTTGCCATGACAACAGTTCAAGTCCATTATTTGTAGCCCTGAGTTGAAGCTCTCAGGTAAGATCCATTAGTCCCGCCTCCTGTATTAGGATTGGCTGCAGTATGGGTATCGTTTAAACACTGACATTTGATTGGTTGAGCTCGTTAGGGTCATTAAACTCCTAGATTCTGAGTCCTGAGTCCTGGATTTCGTCACTGTGGTCCTGCCTGACTCTCATCATACTACTTCTCTGATGGCTCCCACAGGATTGTTGACATCCTCCTGGATTCATCTTATTATTATAGACACATGCATTTCCAAACATTTGGACTATATTGTTAATGTATTATCTTTTCAATTTACACACGGCATCTGTCTGTCCGTGTGCCGTCCCATTTTCCCCCTTTAAACTGTGGGGTTTCTTTGGAAGTTTTTCCTTGTACGATGTGATGGTCCAAGGATAGAGTATTGTCATACTGATATTCTGTACAAACTGTGAAGTCCACTGAGACAAATGTAACATTTGTGATATTGGGCTATAAATAAACATTGATTAATTGATTGATTGTTAAACTATGGTATATTTACAGATGAGTTGGGGACACTAAGTATAAATGATCACTGTAGTTTCACATCCAAAAACCAGAAATGTTTTTCTACAATTCAGGCTTAGAGGGAATTGATAGTGCCGGGCAAGTAGATAAGATACACTCAAAGAAATAACTCATTGGATTAACTCAATTTTATTGTTGGCAGGTTTTCCATCCAATAAATATATGTGGCACAAACTCAAACTAATGGCATCCATGCAGTATAATGTAAATGAGTTAGTCCAACTCAAATTTTTCAAATAGAGTTTAAGTAAAATGATAACATTACCTTTATGAATTTAGATAATGCTAGTCCACCTAAATCCTATTTAATTAATTGAAAATGAAATAATGAGGTTAAATATAATTTAATAAAAATGTGTTACACATGATAGAAAACATGGTTTAGTTTTTTTTATTTTTAAATTCACATTATTCAAAACAATCCTCCATTCAATAGTGTTTAAAAATGAATGAATTCACACTGAAAGATGAAAAACATTTCTGAAAGATAATACCATTTTTAAAATGGCAGAGAAATGGAACTCCTATAATTGACTTACAAATCTCCCTTTGCCAAATACAATGAATACAATATAACAGGGGTATGCACTGCTCTTCTAACAGGACAATAACACATAACATGAAGAGTGCACTGCAAACACCAACATATGGAAATAGTGTTACAGTGTGTTGAAACAAACAAATACAGAAAAGCACAAATGATTGGTATAACGGCTCAATCTGCTCTGATTAGGAAACTCGTGAATAAAATGACAACAATGAACTCATGAGTCACTTCTTTTTCACATTTCAATCGAACAACTTGATCTTCAGACTTTCGATTTTACCATTCAGCTTGTGCCCATCCAGATTCATCACTACCTTCTGCATGAACTCGAAGGTGTGTTTGAGGTTGTCCGGAAAGCTCAAATCCAGGGCATAAATAAGTCCCAATAGCATGACAAACCCCACAATCACGCTGCCCAAGTTGTCCATGACTATATTGCCTTCGATGACAATTCCCACGTCCTCTTGCTGCCCATCCACATCTCTTTGAAGTGTGTATATGCCCATGACTGTGTTTGCCATGTCCCTCTTGGCATCTTCAGAGGCAGTGGCCTGAACAAAGACACAAGCATACAACACATGTGTTAACTAAAACCTGAATTACTACATTTTATAGAAGCAGATTTACTTATGTGGCTCTCCTCATTGATCAAAACAGTTTTAGACTAACCCTCTGGTATCACTCAAATGTACTACCCAATCTGGCCACTCAGGATAAAAATGTCCACTTTCAAAAACTTGAATGATAAAATGATATGATAACAATATTATATTTAAATATTTTTCCCCCACACTTTTTGGGAAGTGTGGGAACATTTTTTAAATGGACAATTAGGGTAATTTGTACACAGTGTATTCGAGACTGATTAGAAAAATTGAAATTCCAAAAAGTATCTAGAAAAAACACAAAATCATTATAGCCAAATCTGATGTGAAAAATTACCAATTTGGACAAAAATGTCCGAGTGATACCAGAGAAGGTTAGGACCTCCAACACAGAACTAAATTAAGCTTGTAAGAAAATGTTTACATAAATAAATTATAAAGATATATTCCTGTATGTTCTGTTTGATTATCAACTTTATCTTATTTATTAATTCAGGTATTAAGTTATTTGTTTACATCCCTACTTAATCATGTAATTTGTTGTTATTCCTGTAGTTAATTATGCATTTACCTACTTATTTCGATAAGTATTTGATTATTTATTATTTAATAATTTATTTCCTTGATTTATGTGATTATGTAATTATTCTTTTAACAATTTAGTAATTGCTGCATTCACATACCTTTTTAAACATGAATCTATTGATTAATATATTTCTGTATTTCAGCATTTATTTATTATTTTATTTATGTATTTATTCAATTATTTATAAGTTCTTACATATGTATTCATGTCCATATTTATTTATTCATTTATAGATGTATTTATATATAAATGTAAATATTTATTTCAGCATTCATTTATTATTTGTATTTATTTCCAGATATATTCATGTTTTAATTCACATTTGTATTTATCAATTGTATTCCTATGTTAATTTATAGATGTATTTATATCTGTATAAATGTATTAATTCACTTTTTTCTATATTTATTTTAACACTTGCCCGATGAAATTACTTCTGTATCTATTTATTATTATTTTTTTATTTCTGTATTTATTCATTCTTACATATATTCATTCCTATATTAATGTATACATTTATTTATTTCTGCATGTATTTATGATATGTGATAAGATATTTAGATGTAAGCAGGGATAGGGTTGTGTGCGCCATAGAATTTTCTTATTATCAATGTAAGTAATGGTGGTTATAATTGTGGGTAACACTGTTAACCACTACATTGAAAACATATTGTGATAAACATACCTGATACTCCTTAAAAAAGAGTCTGGATCCTCGTTGAGGTAGATCGCGATGCTTCGCAGGATGCACCCCCTCTTGATGTGGATGTTTTCAAACTAAAGCAGGGGCGATAAATCAAAGACAATTAAGCACAATGCATGTGCAACAGAGCAGGTAGTCTACAAAGTAGAGGGCTGTATCTGTCGTGTGTTTCCCTAAGCAGGACTCCTTACCCCTACATTTCCACAATAAGCTATTGCCTTAAAAACACTATAAAAGCAGACAATTTCTTAAATGTGTTCATATGAGCATGGACAAAAACAATACAGTGAAAAACGAGGTTCTCTGCATTTATACTAACCAAATCTGATATTGCAAGGGCTTCCTTGATTTTGTGGCCCTTTAGTCCTCCTTTGATCTTGAAGATCTTCAAGAGCTTGTCTGAGAAGTGGTCCAGCTGCCACATGAACTTTGATTGAAGTGGTGATGTTGTGATCCTCAAAAACTCCGCATTCACCTTAAAAATATTATTAACAAGCACAATACAACCAATTGTTACTTGTTTATTAGAATCACAACCATGCAAGGATGTAGACATGAATCACAAAGGATAATAATAAAAGACTGTCAACAAATACAAATATTTACTTACTTCACTCTGCTGAAACAGAGCAGGCCATCTGCATTTGAAGTCCCCTATCAAAGGCCTTTGCTCCACAATCTCAAGGCGTCTGTGAGAGAAGGTTTTTTCCATTTTTGCTTTTATCACCACTTCATTGTCACGCTTTTTCAGTTCTGACAATAAGGCAATTCTCTCGTTCTCCAAGCTTTCTGTGGTTTCGCCTTCTGGGTGCAGAGGAATGTAGTTTATTTCAGCTTTTCTTGTTTTTTTTATGTTTGCTGCAGCTTTGCCTTGGCCTGTTTTCTTGTGCTTTAAGGAGTTCACAAGGATTTCAGGATGTCCAAGACGGCCAAGCTTTGTACGATAGTTTTGCATTTTGTACTTAAGAGACTGTTTCCACCCCCCAAATCCTATCTTGGATCCTAGCTGCCCCAAACAAGGGTGGGCCCTCGTCAACGCTGCAGCTACCTCTTCACACTGATAGTCTTTTGGATATTTTGTGAATTTGATCATTTCTTGGGCTAGGCCATCAAGAATGACTCCTTTCAGCTTTAGGCCAGGCTGGAAGTATGTACCAGTTGTCTCAAACTCTGCATTCTGTAGATGAAGCTCAAATTCAGCCTCGTAGGTGAGCTTAGGAACCACAAAAACTGTGGGCCAGGATAACAATTGTGAGGCCTGAGCTTCAGGGGATGGATGCGGGGTTGACGTATACACCATATCATCACTGCAGCATGAGGCTATTGATGATGCAGGGATTAGAGACTCTGAGCTTCCAGTAATTGAGGTCTTATCAAATGAGTCAACTGTGTACTAAGTGATGGAGGGCTCAATATTTGACAATATAGGAGAGTAAATTACTTTCAGTGTGCTTTTATCCTGAATTTCAGACACTGATGTAAGATTCATGAACTCGTTAAAGTCAACATCCATGTATTGCAGACGGAAGTCCTCTTTCAATTGAAGAGATGTCTTGACAAATGTGTGCAGTTCTTCAACTGTTGCTGGGATTCCCGAATCCAGGGTCAGTTTTCTAGTCAGACTGGTCGGCAAAGATGATGCGCAGAAGCGCCCGACCTGCCGTTATGGAACACCTTTTAATCTAGAGCAGAAACAAGGTGAAAGAATAACAAGAAAGAAACACATTAGGATTATATCAAAGATGAACATAAAAATGTTTTTACAGTTTAACTGCCCCTTAAATGTGCATGTGTCTGCTGGAAATGTTTTAACAACAAATACCTGCTAGCTAGTTCCAAACTGCAGTGTTTGCACTGCCACATGCATAACCTGAAAAAGAGAATAAATAGAATTAGCAATTGACACTGAACAACTAACAATGTCACAGATCAGCTTGTGCAAGTATTGTGAAAGTAGCCGTGTACTTACCATAAATAAGAGGTTTCCCCAAGGTGCTTGTTAATGCTGATCAAACTGCAAAAGACAACAAATATATTTTAGAGGTGTGATTAAAATGCTTATATATTTGAATTTTCACAGAAAACACATAATTGCCTAAGATTGCACAACCCAAAAAACGTTTCTGCACAACTCTGGGTGCCTGCTTGTGAGTGAAGTAACCCATACAAGATTCACATATATATTATCTCATTATTTATATTAAATATTTGGCAGTAAAAAACTCAACTCAACTGAACTCCTACAGAAACGAGTGGCTCCGCCTGTCCTCCTCTGCCTGCACTAAGGCCAGGAGAGAGATGGACAGACCTGCTGAGCTTTATGATAGAAAATGGCGGCGCTTACTGGGCTGCATGCAGGCTCTGCCTCATACTGTTACCTCATTCACTTGAATTACTCTTTGCATTTTTTGGTTGAATTTAAACTGAATTTCGGTGTACTGTGTTCAATGACAATAACGTTAAATCGAATGTAATATAATCTAATGATCTCTACTATCCAGTATCCAATGCTAACCGTATCTAGCAAGCTAGCTAACAAACCAGTTATTTGGCTAGCTAGCTTGCCTCATGCACTTTAATTACTCTTTGCATTTTTTGGTTGAATTTAAACTGAATTTCGGTGTACTGTGTTCAATGACAATAACATTAAATCGAATGTAATATAATCTAATGATCTCCATTATCCAGTATCCAATGCTAACCGTATCTAGCAAGCTAGCTAACAAACCAGTTATCTGGCTAGCTAGCTTGCCTCATGCACTTTAATTACTCGTTGCATTTTTTGGTTGAACTTAAACTGAATTTCGGTGTACTGTGTTCAATGACAATAACGTTAAATCTAATGTAATATAATCTAATGATCTCTACTATCCAGTATTCAATGCTAACCATATCTAGCAAGCTAGCTAGCTTGCTGTTTAGACCCAACTAAAAACGGAGCAAAATATAACACGGTGGTTTCAAATATTCTTGTCGATATTATGAAAAGGCATTACTTGGAAACAGGGAACATTCTAAACTACTAGAAAAAACAAATACTTACCAAATAATAGACTTTCCACCGTCAGTTTCCCCAGTCAGTTTGCACAGTCAGTGTTAGACAAAAGGCGGCAAATGACAGAACGGATTTTGTGCATGCGCAAAGGTGATGTGCAAAGGGGCGGTCCCAAATGAAAACAATTCATTTTGAGTTGCTCTGTCTTAAATATATTTAATAAGTGAATTGATTAATGTAATTTGTGTTACACTAATGAACTATACTTAGGTTTATTTCTTAAATAAAAATATTTAAGTAAAGTGAAACCATTTTTAATGTGTCAAGTCTAAGAAGGGCTTGAATCATTTTTTTGAGTGTAGCAACAGATTTGAGAGGCTACATAAATTAATATATTACCTGTTGTGATTGCATTTTGTCACCGACATTCCAACAGGGAACTGAAGTTCATGTGGCTTCCTAGATGTGAGGATACAAGCACATAAGACTATGCTTAAGTAAATGACTAGCTGAAGCCTAAAGCTGACTACATGAGATTCGTAATAGAGTGTCTAACCTTGCGGACACTAGTCCCATTATGCACTATCCAAGTTTAATTGGTTTGAGCGTTGGGATTACTAGTTCAGCAACAGGACTGTACCTGTTTTGCCAGCCTACGTAGAACATTATTTCATAGCTGTGAGGATTTATTTAAATCTAAATCTAAATCAATGCATCTGAGATTTCCAAAATTGGTAGGTTCAGTTTGAAGTGTACAAAATCATACAATTTCCCCATCTCTAGAGAGGCATAGGATTTCGGATTTAATCTTCTGTTAAAGTAAACTTAAATATCCATAACCGAGATGACATGGCAGCAAAGAAAACTCACTTCATCCTAAATAATCTTTCCTTTTACTTTATTCATGTTGCAACTCAAACAGTAAAGGTTACACCACACACAGGGACACTGAGATTGTGTGTTTGTCATACATATGACAACAATAAAATGCTTTGAAACAGTCAGAGACAATATGGAGGATCAGCAGAAAGCCGATTCTTTGGAAATGTAATGACGGTAATGGTACTGTTCTCTCCATGCCTGCAGCGTCATATATACATTAACAATAACTTAATTTACAATATTTACAGGTAATACAGAAAGTGAAAACACAAAATTAAAACAGGTTTTTTAGCATACAAAACAAATAATACCAATCAATGACAAATGTATTCTAAGAGTGCACACATTACACTTAATTGTATCTTTCTGTGGTACTTTAAACATGAGCTGGTGGGGCGTCAGTATTTTGTAATAATTATTTCAACGTCAGCTCAAATGATCTTTATGGTGCTTTTGACTCCTACCCAAGATAATCCTTCAAAGGATGGCCAATAGTAATGATTGTAGGGAACATTACAAAGTGACACATGCATCAGTTTTATAAAGGTAAATTGCGATCACCATTACAAAAGTGACTGAACTGAACAGCGTGTGTAAGAGACAGAGAGGCTGTAGGAATGTAGACTCACACTAAAATAACACACAAAATGATCTCGGTAGACCTATAAAAATGTACTAAAAAGCTATCTGACAAAAGGCCACAAAGCAAATACACGTTATGTATATTTCGATAAATCTTCACCAAGGAAAAAAACATTTCCTCCGTTCTGTTCTGCTGACAGTGCTACTATACTGGCTTCATAAATATCTTAAGCCCTTTCCACAAATCAATATCATCTTCTCAAATGTTCTCGTAGTCACCATCTTGAATAACAACTCATTCACATCTTGTCACAGAGCAATTGGTTCTACAGAACAAATCCCACTGTCACTCAATACACCAAATATCATTTCAAACATGCATGCACACAAGCTTATCTTTGACCCTTCCCATTTGCCACTTAGGGGAGTACATGTATCCTCTTGAGATATAGCTCTAAGGTCAATGAAACACAAATATTAAAACACTAGCACTCCAAATCAACAGGTCACTTTTTTAAATAAAACACAATCGCCAAACTCTGACTACTCCAAACACAACACAATGGATGTAAAACTTGTTTCAGTGTAAAGTATTTTTTCCCCTCTTTCTTCTTAAAGCAATCTTTCTAAGGGTTCATAGCTTATATCTCTCTGTCAGCATTCTCACATCTAACACACCTCTAAAACCTTTTGACAGCAACTAAAACACAACTGCAATAAAGTATGGAATAGAAATCTCTAAATAAGCAAATCTGTCTAAAGGTATCTATATAAAAAAAAAACAGGACTCGTTTAGCATGTTCCACTCAAAATCGTCCCATCCAGTACTTAAACAGTGCAAAAACATTCAGACGCTAAACGCGGGGTTTATAATTGACATACATTAACGCAGTTTCTCTCCTTTCAGCACTACATTCAAATGTGATTATACTTGCTGAACTCCGACATGATTGATGAACCACACATAAGGAGACGGAATACGAAGTTGTGTGAAGACATTACCAGCAACGGTAGCAAAAAAAAAGCTTCTGTATACCTGACGAACACATCCCAGGTTATTGCAACATCTTTAGTAAGATTGTATTCAGGGATGCTTACACACCAGCTGGAATGAAAGCTATATTCGGCATGTAGCAGTGTGGTAGTGAGTGTTTTCTGGACCCATCTTCTGCTGTAATACCTGCCACCATTTAAGAAAACTCAATCCCGTGTATATCATTGTTTCAATGATTGATTATTGTCTGTTACATAAGGAAGTATAGAATTGGTAAAGTGTCAAACAGGGATCTTTTTTTCCAAACCAAAGATACCTACAACAAGTTTAAAATAACACAAAAGCAAAACTACAAATATTTTGGCAACAGATTGGTTATACGCAATTCCTGCCACCAACTGTATCGTTGCTATTTTAAATGTCCTCCAGCAAAGCAAGTAATAATTAGATAAATAACAGTAAAATGTATTCAAGGAAAGCAAACAAGGGGTATAAGACAAATTATGTTTGTTGGCCTATTTTCCTCCAGCAACGGATACGGTAGAAGATACATTTGTCCATAAAGATTTTTGAATATTTTCCCATCTAAGAAAGCTTTATGTATGTAGATATGCGACTACTTGGTGATAAATGCTCCGGCGGGTGTCATCCCTAGTCCCTTGGAAAAACATTTTCAGCACCAGGAGCAGAGTCCTCTACCCGTAGGCGACAGCGCAGACATTCTTTCTTCATGTCCAACACCGGTACAAGTTTAGTGCCGGTGTGAGTCACTGCCACTGTCCAAAGCTTGAGATGAATGGCAAGCCATTAAAAGTCGAGCCGTGAATGTTCAGCAAAAGTGAAGCCTTGTGGTTTTCTTGTGAAATCTAAAGCATTTCTAAAAGGGAAAACCACGAGATGTGGGTTGAGATTTGATTCGTTGATAATATGCAGGGTGACATCACTCAGACACAGAGTCCTGACTGCAAAGCTGTGAGGCGCCGCTCAATACACTCCTTACCTGCAGATACAAAGGAGAACAGTTAAAATGTCTCTTTTTTTCTGCAGGAACATTACAAATAGGCTGATAGACATACTCACATTTGCTAACTCTGAGGATGTCTTCCTGTTCAGTGAGCAGCTGAGACAGACCCTCCATCAGCAGCAGAGCTTTATGGTAACGCAGCACTGACGCCTCCCCCTGGTGGAACATCTCGTCCAGTGCAGCCGTCTGAACCTGACGCCACACCAGGAGGCTCAAGTTAATAACCTAAATCTTGACTTTTAACATCCACATGCCTGACAAAATATACAAATGTAACCACAGAATGCAAAACCTGTTATGAAATACTAAGAAGCCATTACTTTAGTGGCTTTTCAATATTCGTGTAGAGATAAAGGGAGCACATCACTTTGGAAACAAAAGACTGGAGCCTAAGACAAAGAGACATGATATATTTTGACTTGCTTAGATTTAAAAGGAATAATCTCAGATATTTGTATTTAAATAGGCAAAATGATCATTGATTTAGCCTATTGCCCATTGATAAAAGCGTTGCAATACTTATATTTTTGCATTTTAAAACAAATCGGGGATCTGTGGGGACATGGCCGGAAAAAAAGCTGCATTAATGTACTACTTATGTAGAAAATAATAATTCCCACTGCTTTGGTTTTCTATTTAAAGAGGAACATAATGAGGTAGTCAAAGAAAATGTAATTAGTTTTTTTGAAGACACTGAACACTTTTTCTCCTCAAAAAGATGACAAAAAAACCCCATGTTTGCCAATTCTTTGAGAGTGGATCAGTATAACATTTAAAATGGTTAGTTGGGCCTCCCCCAGACCTGTAGTATTGAACACATCTGCAGTAACCACCAGTATAGAGTATGGCTAAATCAACCAGGACTGAAATGTAACGATTACCACATGCTAGGATTTGTAATTAGCTGGATGCCCACAGATAGAGTATCTAAATAATTCCGCTGTGGCCTGCTGGTCAATAACCCCTTATCTCCTCCTCGGGTTCCCTACTGTCTCATTTTCCGCCCGGCTTACCATCTGCACGGTGTGGCTGAACAGCAGCCGCTCAGCTGTGATGGAGCTGATTTGGTCCATTAGGCGGTGCTTCCTGGAGAAGAAGCGCTCCAGCCGGGTGCTGAGTGAGCGACAGGAAGCCACACTGGACTTGTACAGTTCATTCAACCTCTTCACAACTGTAGGCAGACAGAGATGTATTTTAATATGCTGTACTTTGAATTTTATGGTAGTACAAATATATATATATATATAGTGGGGCAATTTTGTCCTGGTGTCCTTTGACAGCTCTTTGGTCTTGGCCATAGTGGAGTTTGGAGTGTGACTGTTTGAGGTTGTGGACAGGTGTCTTTTATGCTGATAACAAGTTTAAACAGGTGCCATTAATACAGTTAACAAGTGGAGGACAGAGGAGGCTCTTAAAGAAGAAGTTACAGGTCTGTGAGAGCCAGAAATCTTGTTTGTTTGTAGGTGACCAAATACTTATTTTACCGAGGAATTGACCAATTAATTCATTAAAAATCCTACAATGTGATTTCCTGGATTCTTTCCCCCCATTCTGTCTCTCATAGTTGAAGTGTACCTAGGATGAAAATTACAGGCCTCTCTCCTCTTTTTAAGTGGGAT